AAAATCCTACAAGGTAGGCTTCAGCAGTATGTGGACCAAGAACTCCCAGAAATACAAGCTGGATTTCGAAGGGGCAGAGGAACTAGAGACCAAATTGCTATAATGTGCTGGATTATGGAGAAAGCCAGAGAGTTCCAGAAAAACATCTACTTCAGCTTCATTGACTACGCATAAGCCTTTGACTATATGTGCGACAGGAAGTAACAGAACTGGATATGGGACAACTGATTGGTTCAAAATAGGAAAAGGAGTACAAGACGGCTGTACTTATCCCTGCTTATTTAACTTATATGCAGAATACATCATGCGGAAGGCAGGACTGGATGAATCCCAAGGAGGAATTAAGATTGCTGGAAGAAATATCAACAACCTCAGATATGCATATTATACCAGAAGATGAGGAGGAATTAAAGAACCTTTCTTAATGAGGGTGAAAGAGGACAGCGCAAAAAACGGTCTGAAGCTCAACATCAAAAAAACCAAGATAATGGCCACTGGTCCCATGACCTCCTGGCAAATAGAAGGGGAAGATATGGAGATAGTGACAGATTTTACTTTCTTGGGTTCCATGATCACTGCAGATGGTAACAACAGCCATGAAATTAAAATACACTTGGTTCTTGGGAGGCAAGTGATGACAAACCTCGACAGCATCTTAAAAAACAGATACATCACTTTGCCAACAAAATTACGCATAATCAGAGCTATGGTTTTTCCTGTAGTGATGTATGGAAGTGAGAGATGGACCATAAAGAAGGCTGACCACTGAAGAACTGATGCTTTTGAACTGTGACACTAGAGGAGACTCTTGAGATGTCCCCTGGACTGCAAAGAGAACAAACCTATCCATTCTCAAGGAAATCAACCCTGAGTGCTCACTGGAAGGACAGATCCTGAAGCTGAGGCTCCAGTACTTTGGCCATCTCATGAGAAGAGAAGACTCCTTGGAAAAGACCTTGATGTTAGGAAAGTGTGACGGCAAGAGGAGAAGGGGACGACAGAGGATGAGATGGCTGGACAGTGTCTGCGAAGCTACCAACATGAATTTGACCCAACTCTGGGAGGCAGTGGAAGACAGTACGGCCTGGTGTGTTCTCGTCCATGGGGTCACAAAGAGTCGGACACGACTAAACGACTAAACAACAACAACAGTAGGACCTCTGTATCTGTGACGGATTGGTTCCACCCCATCATGGATGATGGATTATAACAAATGCTATTTTAAAAACACTATACATAGCATGGTCTCTTTCTCCCTCTAGTGGCCAGTTGTGGCAATTTCCTTATTAGAAATATATATTTTTGGAATTTTCTTTTAATATTTTCAGACCATGGGTAACTGAATCAGTGAACACTGATCCTGATAAAGGGCCCATACTGTATTGAGAAAGATTCATACACAGTCATTTGCAAATATATTGTAAAGAACAATCAGAGACACAATGCAATATACTTTAAAATCTAATAGAGAAGAACAAATGAGAAGCTGAACAAAACAGAATTTGGCAGATTTGTCCATCCTCAGAAGATTTCACTACTCCAGATTTTTGCCCAGTAAAGTTTATATATTTATTTATATTATTTATATGCTGTTTTTTCTCTCCAGAGGAGACCAAAAGCAGCTCCCAACAGCTGAAATTAAACAAGAATTTACAATTTTACAATATCATACAAATAAGATATTAACAATTTTAAACTTCATCAAGATTAAAACAAGATTAAAACAATTTTCAAACTTTTAAAAAATTTAAAAATCTCTTTAAATTTTTATAAACGAAGCATTCGTTAGACATTTATAGCTTAAAAGCCTGCCTGGAAAGAAAGGTCTTTGTCTGATGACAAAAGGACAAGAGGGAGGCAGCGGGGGCCAACCTCAGTTCTCGGGGCAATGTATTCCAAAGCTTGACAACTCTTCATAAAAACAGTTCACGTATGAAACAGAAACTCTACTGGCAGACACTTACTAAGAAGATAGGTGGCCACAATACATTTGCCCTATTGTTCTTGTCTTCCCATGGCTCTTTCTTGAAGTAGAAGTAATTTAATGGGTCGGAGACCGCAAAATAAAGATTGATTGATTGAAGTAAAAGTAAACAGGACTATAAAAGAGTACTGTGTGGTCACACAACTACCAGTATTCCAATAGCTACTTCTTTTCCAGTCAAATTAAATGAAACTAGAGGCAAAAAGGCAAGAAAGCAAGCAAGTAACTGTATGTTCCAAGTAAAGATAGAGGCTCTTCTAGGATGTTGGTGCCTTGGCAGTTTAGTGAGGGTACTCATCACTTAAAACTGCTACAGCCATCCTTGGGGGAGCAATTTATGAAGGAAGATTAGATACAAACAGAATGAATAGCAAGAAAACAATAACAGTCAAGGGGACATGACTAAGAGGAAAGTCAGTGTGAAAGAAAAAGAAAAAGACCGAAGTATAATTTCAAGAGTACAACAGACATGAGAGATGTGAAATATTCAATGTAATGTGAATGACAGAAAACTAGGAGTTCTCTTTACATTTCTCAAAGCTCTGAATGATATATGCTCAATTTTACAAAATAGAGCAATTGGAGGGAAAAACACAATTCCAGCATGTTATAGCTAAAAACAGACACACATTTGTATATGAATCAGAACTGTGCACAGATTTCCCAAATTGGTTTAGGTTATGATTACAAAGTGACACCATGCAAGGGAAAATTCCAGAAGCTGACTCCTTTTTTTCAGCAGTTAACCACTTCTCACTCAAACACAAAGCAACTGTCAGGCATATTTTTTTTAACAAGTGTGAATCATGGTAGTGAGCATAAGAAGGTATTTGTAGGCCAGCCATTCTCAATGGGTCTTTATCCAGTCTTGGCATAGGAAGAGAAGGGAAGGGGGACCCAAGCGATCCCCCACCCCCGCTGCCTTTGCAAAGACAGTGGGGGTGGAGGTGTTGCTTCTGTCAGGCTTTGCTCCTCTTCTCATGTTCACCCAGGCATAGGAAGAGGAGGGAAAGGGAACCCAAGCCCAGACAGAGATAGGAAGATGAATGAAGTCTGATCTAGGCGATCCCCTGCCCCCACTATCTTTTACAAAAGACAGTGGATGTGGGGGATCACTTGGGACCCCCTTCCCTCCTTCAGCCCTCGAAAATGTGTAAAATATATGCTGTGGCCCTCATACTGAAAAGTTTGGAGACTCCTGCTCTACATCAATGCTTGTTTGGTTAGTCAGGAGTTAAAAAATTCTCCTGAGTATCAGCTAACTGGGTCCTGACAAACAGGGTTAAAAGTTCAGATTGCAGCAGATCTGGAGCTGATTTCCCCTTCAAAGACTTGTGTCAGGAGTCTGGTCTCCAAAATCCTGAGACAGTGTATACTGAAAGCACTCAAGGCTGGGGCAAACACAACTGTGCTGTACTTTTGTAATGCTGAAATACTTTGAATATGCCTTACACAATTCTATGCTAATTCCCTGGACATGGCAAATTTTTCCCCTTTCTGAAGCATTATCACTCAATTACTTTCTTTAAAGCAACTCTGTTTGTCTGTTGGACTTTTCAAAGAAAACCTCTTTTTTTGACTGTTTCTGTGACCTTCTATTGCCCTCCAACATCTCACATCTCAGGCAACAAAGCTGCAACAATGTATCCACTTTGAAATGCTAGAAGAAAGTCACTGTTTTACCCTTTTGAAAGGCATTTTTTGAGAATCAATATTTCAGTTACTGCAGCCAGGATTCCTACAAAGTAAAAAAAAAAAAGCAAGTGGGCCCAACCATTCTCTTTCAAGATAAGCAAGATTAGTGTTTTTGAATTTATTTGATTGGTTTTAAATCTGGGGATATTTAAAGTCACTTGTTTCTGGGGAAGGAGTGTTATAACGTTTTAATTTTAAAAAATCATAACTCAAAACACCCCCAAAATCTGGCACAGAGCAAGAAGAGACTAGTGCTGATTCATGTGAGGAATTCAAGGAAACCGGGACTTGTAGCCATACAAAGATGGAGTCTGTTAGGTTCTGTGTAAGATGAATTTAAAAGCAATTGAATGTTATGAGACTGTTTTGCAGAGTTGCTTTTCCTGGTACAGAGATAAGGATGCAAGGCCAGAAGGGCTCAGGAGAAGACCAAACAGCATACTGCTTAATTGGGAACAAAATAGGAGACCTGCAGATTTCATGTGAATTATGGGCAGAGAGCTGTGTTATACCCACTTGGATTTAATTGGTTAACAGCCTGGAAGAGTCATAAAGAAGGTGATCTAAGACATGTAGAAAAATGGTTGTTCATGTATGTGACAAATTAATGGTGAATGTTGTGGAATGTGAGAGAAAGAGGTTTATCTTTTTGGAGTAGAAGAGGGAGGAGAAGTAGCCCAGCTTCCAGATGTGAACTGGTACTCAGAGCAAAGATGATTACTTAGCATAGACCTAGTTGTTCTTATTTTACTTAGAAATAGCAGATTTCTTTAATCATTGTAGTAGCTGGATATGCCAAATGCTTGTGCCTTAAAGCTACAACTGTATTCTAATGAAACTACTTTATTTTCTTAATAAAACAAGTATAATTCTTAAGCAGAGGACTGGTCTCTTGAAACAGCATGGCTTACATCTAAACCCAGTGTGGATTTGAGAAGGTCACTAAGTTGCTACTGAAAATTGAGAGATCCTACCTGGCAAGGCTGTTGTGTATTTTAAGGAAGCACATAGTCAATGGCTTGTTGCTTTGGAAGCAAGCAAAGGTTACTTTTGGGATCAGGCTTGTCCATGGGGCTTGTACTATGCACTTCTGAGGCTTAAAAGACCTACTTCAGGCAATAAAGGTGTTAGTTTTGCACCCATAGTGACTCTCTGACCCACAATCATCACATCTTTCAGGAGAGGCGATTTTAACAAAGTCCAATTTCAAAGTTATAGTTTTTTGTTTGGGCTGCCCCCATATTAAGTGTTTCCTTGTAGAACAGTGATTCTTAACCTTTATTACTCATGTGTTTTTGAACTGCAACTCCCAGAAACCTCAGCCAGCACAGCTGATGGTGAAGGCTTCTGGGAGCTGCAGTCCAAAAACATCTGAGTAACAAAGATTTAGAACCAGTGTTGTAGAATACTGATTAGTTCTGCCAGCACAATAACATTAGGGCCCAGCACAGAGCTCTGTTCAAGGACTTGCCCTGGGCCAAGAATTCAGTGCCTCTGTGTGATGAAGTGTATTTTCCTAATTAGAGATGGGTTATGTAGTCATGTTTTAACCATAGAGAAATCCATTTTGAGTCTGACACAGGCTAAGTTCTGGAAAATTACTAGTAATTATTTTCAGCTTCATGTCGCCAACCTTATCGCTGCAGCTGGAGAGAAAAACACAGCAGAGTCAAAATATCTCTAACCTGAATTATAAACAATTCTTTGGTGTTGGTGGGAAAGTAGGGCGTACCCTATGCTAATTCTTTCCTTCGTGATTGGTCGAATATGTCAGGAAGGGGCAGGTTGGAGAAATTTACAAGAGGTTGGAAAAAGGAACTCGGAGAGAGAGAGAGGAGAAGAAGAGAGTTTTGGGTATCTGAAAACATGGCATTGAATATCTTTGATCCAGCCGAAGGAACCTGATTTAACAATATGGACTGCGTAAGAATATCGTTTGTTTTCCTTAGTTTATAGTTTAGATTTTGTTTTGTTCAATAGTTAATTTTTATAGAAGGTGCTGAAACATTATGCTGTTGCTTAGAAATGAAACTGTAGAGAAATGTTATCTTTGTTCACTTAAATAAACTCATGTTGTTTAATAATTGGCCTTTCTAGTCCTTTGAACAGAACAGTTTCCCTATAGATAATGAATTTGGCCTTACGTTACCAAAATTGAGTCATTGAACACTAGATACGGTATTAAGTGGTTTCCTTTTAGTAAAATCGAAACAGACTTAAATGCAGGTTTTCCAAGAGTTCATGTCCCGGAACTGTGTTAGACTCAAGCAGTTCACTTCAGTCGGGAGTGAAGAAAGCCTGGATTTTCCTGTTTCGTGGTTTTTGCTCTCATTTATGAGACCAATAACTGACAGTAACTCCTAAATGTCCTGTTACCCTTTCCCCATGAAGCACTTAGTCCTCTTCCTGCATTCTCTTTAGCTG